CAGCGTATGGGGACGCATTATAAAGTCAATAAGACGGATTCTACAATCACTACTGTTTTAAAAGGTATTGACGGACGAGTCTTTGGAGACGTTTTTATTGGAACTTGGAGGATTACTGAACAATCTATCACTCGTAAAGCTAGTTAATGACTGTGATAATCTGGATGTACTTACTCCAGATGAGTTATTGTTAGTTCATAGAGGTGTATCATTCGAAGCTCACACGAATAAAACGTGCCTATGCAATAGAAGATGGGATGAAGCGCGAAAACTAACGAACTTATTCTGTAACGGATGGTCACAAGAGTGCCTAACACCCCTTCAGACGAGATCCAAGTGGTTAAACATGAGAAGAAATCTACAACCGGGAGATTTAGTGTTAGTAAGCAATGCTGGCTCACCGAGAAATCTATGGCCGAAAGCTATAGTTGGACGGGCCAATTGTGGTTCAAATGGAAGATTCAGAACAGTTTGACTGAATACAGCAACCGAAGAGATCAGCCGGATCGAGCCATGGACTGGCTCACGCGGCAGTGGGTGTTCTTTCACTTCTGTACTTTAGTTGTTGTACCTTAACCAATAACGTCCTTTGTGTTGTACAGTCTCCATAGCGTCCATGATCCTTTGATGCGTCGATGGTTCAAACCACGTAAGGGCCAGTCGCGAGGTGTGACTTCAGCGTTAGATGATTCGTCACCATTCTCGTCTAACTATAGTAGGCCCCCAATCATTTCGACGATAGAACATCAACGTAGATGTTCTTACACTGGTGAGCCCGACGTTCAACCCGACTTACGACATAGTACACACGTCTTCGTTCGTCGAGACTCACATCGACGACCCCTCGAATCAGCATACGAAGGACACTTCAAAGTTCTTCAACGCGAACCTAAGTACTATGTAGTCGATAAGAACGGTACGAACAATAGCATCAGTATCGATCGACTCAAAGCTGCGTACCTAGAAGGAAACCCTAGCTACGTCGATTTTCCTTCGGTACAAGAAAACGACACAGCTACTACACTCGTAGTACTCCACACGACAACCGACACACAACTTGATACTTCGTCAACGTCGATAGAAAAACCTAAAACAACGCGTTCTGGAAGAAGAGTAAGATTTCCAGAACATCTTAACGAATATTGCACGTAGGACATAAGCTTTATCTTGAATTACCCTTCCATAGTTCATTATAAAAAAAATTTTAATATGATAATTTTTTATTTATATAAAAAAACCAAAAAAAACAAAACATTTTTATCTTTTTTTTGAGCGTATATATATATACTTTTTATGTATAAAAAAAACCCAAAAACAAGCCTTTTTTTCCAATCGCTTTTACGCTGTTTGTAAGTGTATCAGTTTATTTTTTCCGCTCATCTTGTGTCCTTACGCAAGTACGAGTGTATTTTCGACATGCACTCACACGTTTTATTTTTCCTCTTTTCCAGGACGGCTGGAAAAGAACGACGAAGTTTCGCAAGAAACCGAAATTTTCATTGTACTATATTTCTTTATTGCTATGTTGTACATTTTGGTCCCATAGTTTAAGGAAAGACGACCAGATGCTGCTAAACGAAGCAAGCTATCAGAAGAGTGTTTACCAGCGACAAACTCGTTGGGTTTAAACTTCTGTCTGGTCACGTCTTAGGGGCATCACTACCTCACTAGGGGGGGAGTGATCTGTAGCTGTAAATAATTCCCCAAAATCAATAGTTCATTAAGTGTTTGACATTGGATGCTGACCACGTGTTTAAATGGACTTGTTTAGCTGAAGGCTTTCGGTTATGCATCCGCACCAGATCACGTTTCGACTCGGCGTGGGACACAGCTCCTACGTTTCATTAGCCAGCTCATAGAAAAGGTCCTCGATATATTGGTAACGAATCAAATATATCTTTCCTGCCTCTTCTCGTCTGACTTCTGATTTCTATCTGACTGGGAACAATCGAATTTAGAAGGTGCTACTGGTATCTAGTTGTAAAACTAGAATATCCGTTGCATCATCAACAGTTACGCTTTTCCCAGTTAGATCATTCAAAAAACGATAATACTCAATAATTTCCTTATAACAATGTAACATGATGCAGATGATACACCAAAATAGTTAATGAAGAGTAATTTTTCCAACAAGTTACAGATACATGATAAAACCTGATTATCACAATAAGAAAAAATATTCCTATCAGTTAAAGAATAATATCCTATCCGAATAAGATTGAGTTAATTGAATTCGCTCCAAAGATAAACAATCAACAATGAATAATGACAAACGTCCCTAAAACAAACAGGAGACGTGCTTCAAAATTAACCACATGAAACAGAGCAATCATTTCAAAAACCTTCAACAAAAGTATGACAATCCAACATATTGAGCGCCATAAAAACAATATGGAATAAAGAAAACATTAAACGGTTACTTAAGATCCAACAACATCACTAGTATAGTTACGATTCAGAATCTGTATACAGTATGGTAATGATAGCTGCAATCAGTCTTAAAAATAAGAACCAAAACACAAAATACACATAACACTAAAAGAAACATTATAAACTATTGGTCATAAGAAGAACAAATAGTAAATACTTCATATTTGAATGAAATCTTTTTTCTTTAGACAATGTTTTCTATTGCTTTTATATAGAATTTGTTATTTCTGCACCGAGGCAATTCATCTACTCACCATTCCAAATCATTAAATTTTATGGCTTATGATCTGTGAACAATAAACTATGTTGTATTTGACATGAATTATTCATTAATTTGGCAAATAAATGTATGGATGCACTATTATATCATTAATCATTTACGACCAATAGATATTACTTATATGGATACTTAAAAATGTGATGAAATTCCATAGAAGATTTGAATAATCAATTTTGTATGTTAATCTAACTTTAAATAAATTAGGTCCCAGGCTAACTACATCATTTGTATTCATTAATGCGTATCTATCGTACAAATTTTATTTTCAATTACAGTTTTATTTCCTGTTAACTATGATTTTAATCTAATAATACCTTGGAATCAATTACTACTATTTAGGCTTTTGTATATTCATAAAGGTGACATACATAAACATATATGCCCGCACATTTTTAGTTATGTAAATAAGGCAATAAGTCTCATAGATTTGTTACCTTTTAAATTCAATGATTATGACTATAATTACTTAGAACCTCAAGTCAAACGATGATGGGTTCTATTATATTTTCCTTATAAGCATCCCTGAAAATAATCTAGATGTAATGAAATCCATTCATAAAATAAAAACTAAATAAGCAAAGATAGACAGTGGCTAGCAGTGGAATCCAGGACGCGCATTTTGTCCTATTTGGGACTCGTCATCTGGATGTACCTGCATCCCAGAGTTGATGTTCGCTCTGGGATTTGAAGTGGATAACACGATGGCGTTTCAAGCAAACGGTACTGGGTTCGAGTCCCAGAGTGAACATAAACTCTGGGGTGCAAATATACACGGCTAACGACCCCAAGTATGACAAAACGTGCGTCCTGGATTCCACTACTAGCCACTGTCCATCTTTGCTTATAATGCTTGTGAATTAAAGCTACATCGAGGCAATACGTACAGTTTGCACATATGCCAATAAGAGATTGATCAATTGCAGTCCTAAGCATTAATGGGAAGATTCAAACAAACAATATCAAGTGAATAAAAACTAAATAAGTTCAAAACTATTCAAGAAACTTTGTAAGTGAAGGGTAGTAGCTTCTCGTTAATGTTAATAATCAATTATATTTGAATGTTCATTAAATAAATGAATAGAAAATTAAAAAGTAATTACTGAGATATTATGTATTTTATCATAAAAGTTCTTTAATATAATCAAAATATATATTTGAATAAGGTGAATCCTTTTATAACAACAATATGAATCTATTTTATAGAATGTAACAAATGTATATAAAAGCACTAGCATTCTAGTACATTGATAAATTAATTCACGTAACCGTATTGTAGTGAACATGAAAACAAGTGAGGACAAGCGAATGTATATAGTAAATAGTTAATTTGCAATCTATTAATCAATTGTCTCATTCTTGAACGTTCCTTCTGCAAATATCAGTTCATAGTCTCCGATTATTATTGTTCATGCATTTTCATACCAGCTGCATCCCCTTTCCGTTCTCCCTTATCGATATTCTACTGAAATACATTCAATGCCCGACCATCGCTATATACTGCTTATGTGGATATAAGTAACCCACACCACAGTATAAGTTCTCCTGTATATTTTGCTAGTTATGGCAATCAGGAATTAAGATCTTAATTTTATAGGCAGGTAAACAATCTTCATGTTTATTGTTTTTAGTTAAATATTCTTCATATAACTGTTTTATGTTACTATGAAAAATCAACTTTGATCACTAACTAATTAGACAGAAACAAGTACATATTTCTTCAACCATAACACAAAAAAATTCTGTAAATGTTGTAATTTTCTCATGAAATTTAAATACCAAATTTTTTTACTGTAAGAATGGCTCGTTGGCAAACTCAAGGAAGCCTCAGGAAGCCCAGAAAAAGCCGAAGACATTCCATCCAATCACTGCTACATGAACATTTTAGGATGTCGACGTGTAACTCTCCTATCGGATGAATAGGAAGGCCCCTCCTATATGCCTATTAGCTGTTCGAAACGATGATTTACTTTCGGCCAAAAACGATAAATACATGAGATTTTTGAACTACATTTGACACTGTATGGAAATAACATTCCTACTTATTAGTCTTCTGATTTTGCGACTTAGGAGGGTTCTATCGTTCGAATGCTCAAGTATTACGCAACATACTAAGAATTTAAGTTCGAGATATAACACCTACATATTTATTTAATAAATAGAGAAATATCTTATTCTTCAGCATACTTTATTTCAGTTGAACAATATATGACAATTCATGATTTAAACAAACTAAGATCTATGTGAATAAAATAAAGAAAAGTTAAAACAAAACAACAAAAACAAAATCTTTTTAAGCGGTTTTTTTAAACAATATTATTCGTTTATTTTGTTTTTCATTATTTGAAATTTTATCATTTTGATTGAAATAATTATTCTCTATATTTATTGTTTGTCTTATTCTTTCATCATTTCTAGGATCTTTATATACTTTTGGTAATGTATTCTTCCATGGTACTGATGCTACAGCTAAACGTGAACATTGTAATAATTTTTGTGAAAATAATTTATTATTACGAGTACATAAAATAGGATGTTCATTATGATACCCTGTATAAAAACATTCTTTACATAAAACTATATTTGAACAAAATAAACAAGTATAACGTTCACCTGACCATTTCAATTTTTCACATAATTTACATGGAGTTTGTAACCATGTATTATTTAATGTTTTATGTTCAATAGTTGGTGGTTGTATTAAAATATTTGGTAATTCATCAGCTTTACAAAAATTGAAAAATGAATTCAATGGCTTTGAATCAGAATACAAATGAGGTATAGTGTAAATTCGACAGATTTGACCATTATCATTAAAATATTTAGCCATAGTTTTCAAACATGATTTTTTTGTGATTTGCACAAATTTGTTATCACCTGGAGATTTCCAATGAAAAAAACAAGAAAATATTACAGTAACAAAGGTCATTGTAGAAAATCCTAAGTCATTAATAATTAAAATCATTTTTATACTATTTTTTTGTGTAATTTGTCGTTTTATGGCATCTCATATCCATATATAACTCTTTCCTCTGGTAGACTTATAAAAAGATAATATAGTTGAGGTCATGAGTCAATTGAAGCTAGACCACCATGGAAAACCTGGAAGCGCTGGACGGCTGAGGAGTTCCACAATAGGACGAAACGGCCTTCCAGTGCTTCCTGGTTTTCCATGGTGTTCTAGATTCAATTGACTCATGATCTCAACTATATAAAATTACTAAAATCTCCACAAAACCCCCTTCTGGAAAAGATAATAGTCAGTTCTTAGCTGGACAGAAGTCAACTAACGTTGGTTATTTCTTAATATTCATTTTCTTATCATTCGATGATCATTCGCTAGCTGATGTGTCATATTTTGTATGTAAAATAAGTTCTGATTACCATAGAATTTATTAAGTTACTATGTTTTTTGAAAATTTATTCGCTTGTGAATGGAAATTATTTCCGCGAGGAAATTAACACATGTGAATTAACACACTTGAATAATTTCAGCAATTCAACTGCGATAACAAATGTTTCTATATAGTAAGAGGGTCATCATTATAGGTCACAGGTACTTAAATTGTACTAAAATTGTATTTTCCAAGTAATTCACATGTTTTAAAACAACGAAAAGAAAAAGAACCATTACATTGATAAACAAAATAAAGACAGTGGAACGAGAGGGAGAGAGATATGAAAAATAGTTTTCATGTCCAGTATGAAGAAGAGTAGAAAAGTTATCGAAAATGATCAACAATATAAGATACAGAAAAGTGATGTGTAACATAATTATTCAGTTGACGGCTGTTTAGATTTAGTAAATGATCGAAAGCTTCACTATACATGAAGTGGGCACTGATGATGTTGTTCCGAATGACAACTAAAGGTAGATGATTAAACGATATAATTCAGTGAACTAAACAACATCAGGAGTAATTACAAAATGATCTGCAGAGATTCTTAGCTCATTCTTATTATTTTCATGTTTATTCGTCTCAGTTCTGTATTCAGTTCGTTTACAATTTGTCCAAACAAACTATCCTTTATGCATCCACTCTGTATTTTGACTTTATTGTACCATATATTTTTTACACTATACTTTTTGATTGATTAATTATTATTATGTATTACGTCAGAAGTAATTGACTATGTCTACAAGTAACTATCTTGTGTACTTGACTGAATATCATACTTTGAAATTTTACCATACACTTGTAGACGGGATGATATGTAATTCTTTTTTTCTACTGAAGTTAAGAAAGCAAACTGAAATATAAACAAGAAAGTGAATAGAGAATGAAAATGTAAAATGTAGCCTAATGTAAGAGTTGGTGAATTTCAAGTTATTGTTAACCAAATAAATAATCGCCAATTACAGACATTTGTTAGACTTTATACAGCGTATCGAAATTACCTGAACGATCTTCTAAAAAATCTCATTTTAATAAAATAATTTCACCATTGGTTGATATAAACTGAAAAACCATTGAAAACAAAGTATCACTGGCAAGCCTTTTCATCTAAGTTCGGTATACTACAATTTTGAACGATCATAATAAAACACATTATCAGACCGAAAATTCCTGGGCCTCATTGTTAGTACAAAACAGATTAATTACTCAGTCGATATCAAATTGTCTATATTTAGCGAATCTGATCAATTGTTGTTATTAAAGGAGTATTATTCCACTCAATCAGTTAGTGGCTACCCAACTCTAAAAAATAAGTGACCTCATAGGTCATAGTTTTTACTGGAACTTTTAGAAATATACATCGGAAATAGCCACTAAAAAAATAACGAATGATTCACTTCTATAGTTGTCCTGGATCTATTTGATTCTAATATTATATTGAAATATCATGACTGGAATTAAGTCGATAATCTTAGCAATTACTTTTATCATTTAACTTCTCTAATGATCATAAAATGTTCAAATACGAATGATCGATCAGTTTGTGTAGTACAAGTTTACGCTAACTAATAGGAAATTATTCATTAAACTCATGGTAATCATTAAATGAAATATTTATGTCCATATCCTACAAAACACATTGTTCTCTCTGTTTGTATGTTTATATGGATTTCCCATGTTAAAAACATCAAGTTAAATTCAGTCATTTGTTAGGAATTTATATTCTGTGATAAAGATACCTAGTCTTCTAACATAATAATTTCCATAGATTTGATAAACCTTCTGTTAATCATATGTTCTTTTATAAGATGACCATATTACATACAGATAAATTCTAATGATCATTAATAACAAGAAAGTCTTATCGTCTATCATCTTCTTTACAAAATAACTACTTTGTCACTATGCAAACAAATACACGTATGATATTTCAGTGTATTTTCTCTTCTCTCAAAATTCCTATTCCATTAGTTGATTATATTTTAGTGTGATCCACTAAATTCAATTCATTAATTGTCTTATGCTCTTGTGAAAACATTTTTTTTCAAAAAGAAAAAGAAACATCACTTTACATTTAATTAGTTAATAATTCTTATACTACTAATTTTGAGTGAAAAATATTAAAGAAATAAATGTATTGGATATGTATAAATATAATTAATACAGTTCTAGTATTTTCATGGTTGAAATCATGAGTCGATTGAAGATAGACTACCAGGGAAAACCTGGAAGCATTGGACGGCCGTTTCGTCCTGTTGTGAGACTACTCAGCAGTGCTCATCCACGATCCCGCCTCGCGAGATTTGAATCCAGGACCTACCAGTCTCGCGCCGGAGCACTTAACCACTAGACCACTGAGCCGGCATCCGATGGTGTTAATGTCTAACTTCAACCAATCCACGAAGTTGAGAAACTGTTCACCAATTGTCGTCAGTGAGTCGATATCTCACAACAGACGTGGTTGAACTCCACTAGTCACTGCTTCTAGTCACAGTTCTAGTATATAGTAGATGAAGTCACACCTACACTGTATACATCTGTCAATACAGTCACATCACAGTATAATAAGATATGCTTTTGTCCATAATATAACGATATTGAAATATATCGTACACTGATTTGCAAAATGTAAAACAAAAAGAAAAGGAATTCAGTTGAACCAAAGTTTATTTGGTATAATGATGTGAGAACATGAGTACAATTTGCTTAAGTACTAATATATTTTAGAGAAATCGATTTTGGTTAATATTTAGTTTCGTATTATATTCCTCTTCCATTACCCAATTCTTAAACCACCCTTTCATCCACACATTTCCTCTCATTTGTTTCTCTTAAATGATGTCAACTTTTCAAATTCTATTCAGTTATTACGTAACCAATCCTATTTGTTTTTAATTCCATGAATCCTTCATTACCTCGAAAATTATCACACATTTTATCTTATATGTCACTGAACTCCACTCAACTATTACACCACCCACCCTTTATGCCTCCTGGATCCTAACACCTAATAACCTCTGACCTTTTCTTGAACATATATATGTATATAGTTATCATTGATAACCTTTTATCATTCCAATCCTTTACATTCACTTATGTTAATTGTTCCACACTATTTATTATATCAATGCTAAAATCCTAATACATATTTGGTTGTAAGCAGCTGATGAATTCATATTATTCTGCATCAATATTTGAATTATTTTTATGGCAGAGGACAAACCAGCTTCCAGCTGAAGAAGAAATTAGGAAAAAACGTTGGAAGTGGATAGGACATACATTGAGGAAATCACCAAACTGCATCACGAGACAATCCCTAACTTGTAATCCGGAAGGGAAGCGGAAAAGAGGAAGGTCAAAGAACACATTACGCGGGGAAATAGAAGCAGATATGAAAAGGATGAATGTTAAATGGAAAGGATTTCCCAGGACAGAGTTAGATGGAGAATGCTGGTGGGTGGCCTATGCCCATCCACGAGAGGTAACAGTGTAAGTAAGTACGTGCATCAATATTTGTTCTGGTTTTATTTAAATTCATAAAAGGAAGCCATTGCATGAAATCAATTTTTATTGGATTATAAAATGATGATTTCTTTTCTTAGCCAACTGTTACCGTAATTATTTCAAGTGTACTGTTAGATTAATATACAAATACTTGTAGTGAATTATTTTATCTGCTATCCTAGTGTTTATTATGATAAAGATCATGTTATACTTGCACTGTTGATTATTCTGTGAATACGAATGTGATTTCGAGATCTCAACAAAGGATACGATCATTGATCTTCAAACCATACTACAGAAATACCCTCGGAAATATGCACTACTAAGTCGCAACTTGGAATAAAACAGTTGTTCATTAATTATTGATTTTCAGTGGTTCTCCAGCTGACGTTAGTTCATTGCAAAAAAATATCTTCAAACTAAACAAATATCTATATAAAGTATTTCATTTTGTTGTTTACCATTGTTTAATAATGGGAATGTATTAATGGGTGAACAATAAAATGTAAATTATTCCCGCCAAACGAATAATCGAAATAGCCATTTACAATTAGTAACTCTGCATAAATTACAGTAACTATAACAAAGTAAAGTTTGAGGTAACAATGCCGTTTAATGCATGTAATCAATACAAACCAAGGAATACTGTTTTGGTTTTGCCTTGGTTCGAAACTCCACCCACCCTATACTTAAGGATATCAATATATACATACATTTACTTGACACATTTGAAACTGTACAAAATGGCCATATTCTAGTGAACCATATATCATTGCCAATAATCACACTTAAAGTAAGCCAATACCTTGATTATCATTATGGTGTGTACTACTTGTACAGTCAGATGTAAGTAGTTCTTCCGAACAAAGGAAGAAAATGATGAAGAGATAAAGGAAAACGGAAACAATTAAAATAATGACAAATAAAAAAGAATGATGGAGTTTTTAAAGGATAACTGTAATGTTTATATGAACT